CTAACTCATCCACTGTTAAATTTAAGAACCCACCTGCTATTAGAAATTGCTAATCTATCTGCTGTTGAATTTAAGAACCTACCCACTGTTGAAGTATTGAAACTATTAAACTATCTGCTATTTAAAACCACTAACCTACCTACTGCTAAAATTGTAAAACACTGAATATAAAGACAACAATAACAAAATTATTTAATAGAAAAAAAAAAAGATTATTTTGAAAAGATAGAGAAGATCCCAATGATTACTTATACCAAACTTATGGCTAATGAAAACAGAAACTTGTTGGAGAAAAATAGAAGAGACAACTATGAATAATGATTTTTACAGAGGTCAAGACTTCAGCTTGATTTTCTTCAGACTCATTTGTATATTTAGTATACAAGTTAAAAGTGTTCTTGAACAAGATAACTGGCAAGAAGGTGGTACCCTTGTGCAAAAAATTGTAATAGAAGCTCTGCTTCTGCTGACGAAGTTAAAAATATTTGGTCTAAAGAGAACAACAAGTGAGTTTTCAATATATTCTTTACCGAAGTTTAAGGCTACTTGCAACCTGAAACCCTCTCCCATATCTTCACTCTTAATCTTTACGAAATTTCTTCAAAAAATGGGAAAAACAGCATATCTCTATCAAAAGATCGATAACAATAATTGCTGCTGAAAAAAGAAAGACATGTATATATGTACATATCTACTTTTGGTTATAATGTAAGATAATATAATAAAATTTGAAACATTGCAGAAGATGTGTTGATGGGATGAGATAACATCTAGAAGTTTCGATCCTTGGAGCTTTATTTCAAGACTGGATGGTTTTTGATATTTTTATATTCTAGATATAGATATAAATAACTAGTATAGAGTTTAATCTAGATTATTTGTAGTACTATATAATTTTTATAATCTTGTACAGGTTTAATAATGCTATCTTTGTTTTCTTTTATTTTGTTTTTTTTTTTTTTATTATTTGTTTTATTTAATTTTATTAGTTTAGGTAGACCAGAACTCGATACCATAGTATTTTCCTATTTTTGTTATGCCCTTTGTATTTGTGTTTGTATTTTGTTTTGTAAAAAGGAAAGTTAATTTGGATATGATGTGTAGCATCAGCCCATGACCAAAGGATAACCTTTAGTAAGTTAGAGGCCCAGAGAGAGGCTTGAAGTAGTACTCCTACAGACCGGACCCGAACCAGACTTTAGTCAAGTTTAAGTCTGGTTCGGTTTTCAAACCAGACTCAAACTTTTGTATTCGAACTTTTTAGTCAAGTCTGAGTTTGGTCCGGGTTCGGTCCGAAGTTTGCAAACTAGTTTGAGTTCGAATAATATTACAATTCAGACTCAAACTTTTTAGTCCGAAGTTTGCAATCGGGTCCGGTAAGGTTTTTTATGGCTTAGCACATCACATGAGTTCAAACTTTAAATTAAACAACCCTAGCGTCACTCAGAAAAAATGGTAGCCATATTATCTTGCATTTTTGGTAGCGTTCCCACAAAAAATTGTTCATCCCTAGTAATTTTGACCAATCAAAATTTAAGATCTGATGTCCAAGTAAAAAAGTTATGCGCAAAATGAAAACCAAGAAAACCTTGTTATAATTAAGGTTAGGATTAGAACAAATAACACCTGTTAGTAAAACATTGCTAAAATTTAGAATTATTCTTGTTTTTTGTTTCGTTCGATTTTTACGTTACACCTGATCCTGAAATTCGATTGGTCAAAATTACAGGGGGTGACCAATTTTTGTGGGAGAGCTAGGGGTGTCTTATTTTGCCGGTTTATATGTAATCTTCGAATACTGATTGCCGGACAAAAATTTATTATTCACAATCTAGCCAACAAACTTATGGCTTTATGAATTTTAATGCACAGATTAAAAAGATCTTTATACATAACTAACTAAATAACAAACCAAAATTGAAACGAGAGTCAAATTGATAGCCAAAGTGAAAGTCAAGGCGAGAGTCAAAGTGAAAGTCAAGGCGAGAGTCAAAACGAAAGCCAAAGCAAAAGTCAAAGTCAAAATTAAAGCGTAAATCAAAATAAAAGTCAAATCGAAAGTCAGATCGAAGACCAAGTGAAAGTCAAAATAAAGGCCAACCCAAAAATCAAAGCTCTGATGTACCAGGAACGTAGTGAAACGAAGTGGATAGTTCAATTCGAGTACACAAAATCTTGATTCTGATTGGATGTTGTAATCGAATGATAAATTTTATGTCTGATTTTTGCTTTTTTGAGAAGTTCGTTAAAGTCAGGTTCATATATTATTGATATCTATATAGAATTAATAACCCTAACTGAATCCATAATTCGCATCTGGCTTTTTGTATTTCAATTAGTTCCTTTGATAATCGTGATCATTTAGATAAAACGAACAGACTATACTACTGTATTATCAGGGAAAATCTAGATGTTAGGGAGAAATTCATAAATCAATTGCCCGGTAACTTATATGTTTTAACTCTGATAATTAAAGGGAGGACTTATTTTCTAATAAATAAACTGTTAATTTAAACTATTCATTTATTAAAAGTCAATTAATATTTAGTTAAGAGTCAATTATTGTATTTTAAACCGGTATCTAAACGTTGAACCTACTATGGATCCAATTTCTGGATTTTGAACCTGAATTAGTTAATTGAACCAGCGCCGGACATTTTAAAGTAAAGCCTTCACTTCGCTCATCTCAGCTCTAGCTAATTAAAAGTCAGCTATTATATTTTAAGATTCAAGGTATTCAAACATCGAACTTAATTCTGATTATTTGGATCAGGGTGAAGCGGAAGCTGGGCATTCCTAAAATTCAGTATATTAAGGCTTGAAATGCTTTCACTTCGCTCTTCTCAGCTCCAATCAATAAGTATTTAAATTAAGCTATTTAAGATATTATCGAGTTTACAATCAAAATCAAATTGGCAAATTGGTAAATTACAATGTAATGATATTCTTCTGTTTCATGAAAGTATGCGCGAAAGAATCCTTCGGTTGTTTCTAGATTGACTTAATTCTATGTCGGATCAAAAAAACACTAATCGTTCAAGATCTATGTTCCTGGTTTTAGTGCGACAGCATCGCACAGCTACGTATCTAATTTATTAAGCATGATAAACATAATTTTACTGGCAATCAGTTTTCAAAGTCATATGTAAGCCAACAAAAAATCCGGCTACCATTTTTTCTGGGACTCAAACTAGTTTGCAAACTTCGAACCGAACCCAGACTGGACTTATAATTAGTTTGAGTCTGGTCCAAAGTTCGAAACTAGTAAAATTTAGAGTTTGAGTCCGGTTCGATCCCGGACCGAACCCGAACCGGACTGGACCCGAACCAGACCTAGGAGCACTAGCTTGAAGTCTACTGAGGCAAGTCATACCTGGTGAAAGCATAAATACGTCACTTTATGGATAGATTAAGTATAGCTATTATTAAGGAATGTAAATTTCTTAGTATAGTTTAATCTCAATAAAAAGTGGCAAGATAGCTGAATTATAAAAAAAAAAAAAAAACTAAAAAAAATTGAAAATTTTTATTTTTAGGCAAGAAATATAAATTTATTTGCCAAAAAAATTGTAAATTTAGGAAATTTTGAAGATTTTCATATAAAAAATGCAATAATTTGAAAATTTTTTATTTTTTAGAATATTAAAGTTTACAGATTCCAGATTCCCACATGTGTATAACATATGAACTTTGATGATCACAGTAATTTGAAAAGTAGCAACTTTAATAAACTGAAAATTTCGTGAATATAAAGATGACATGAAAATTTTAACGACTTCATTTTTTGTACATATTGATATTGCAAAATTTGCAAGATTGATTCTCTATTGCTGTGATTCTAACAGTTTATATTTATTTATTTATGTCGCATAATGTAAATTTTAGAAACGTCGATAAATCATAAACGTTTATCAAAACATATAATGTTATTACAGAACTAGTATAGCCAATATTATCTAAAATATATCCAACCTAACTTTACTCTAGTCCAAACTCGATAATTCATCGAGTAGCATAGTCTTGGCGCAAAAATTTGTCGGTGATGTAATACCTAAGCTCGTCAAAATACTTGATATAACTGATTTAGTTATATTAACCCGTCTTAGGTATTTTTCCGACCTTAAGTTTGGGTCCGATCAGCTCGGATATTACATCACCGACAAATTTTTGCGCCATGACTATGCTACTCTAATTCATCCTAACTTTACTCTAGCCCAACCCGATAATCCCACCTTAATCTTACTCTAATCCAAACTCGATAAACTACCATTAATTTAAGAAATAATCTACTTGTCGCCGGCGATGACAGTACCGGATTTTATTTAGAGTTATATTTAGAGTTAGAAGCGTCATAATATATAGTAAAATTATATGCAAGGATTATTTTTTGTTAAGACACGGAAGTTGGTTTCATAAGTTATTTTGATTTGAACTTTTTGAGGTTTTTTTGAATTGTGCAATCTGATCGGCCTGGGTCTGTCACCGCCGGCGACAAATAGATTCGCCCTTTCTAACTTACTATAACTCAAACTAGAGTTTGGAACCGGTTTTATTTTTCATAAGTTAAAATCGGTTTCAGTCGGTTTTAACATATGAAAAATAAAACCGGTTCCAAGCTCTAGCCCAAGCCCGATAATCTACCGAACTTTATCCTAATCCAAACCCGATAATCTTACTATAATAATTATAACCTTACCTTATCAAACCCGCTAATCCCTTTTAATATCGATATTGATCCAAATCCGTTAATCCTAACCCATTAACCCTACTCTAATCTTGCCCTAATTCCAACCGCTAATCCTGCCGCCCACTTACTAACCTAAACTATCATTTGCACGTAAGAAATCCTTCAAAAAAAAAAAAAAAAAACTATTCAAAACATTTCACCAATTTAATCTCCACGCCACTTACGTCAAGATAACCGTTACTCAGGTACCTGCAAGGAAAATGCATCAATATACGACGGCGAAAACACCGGAAAAAGCGAAATACCCAACGCGATGACACGAACAAAGACGGCACCGATATATGACGACAACACTGGCAGACGAGAGAAAGAAAACACCGTTCTATAAAAATAATCACAACAATCATAATAAAATAGATTAGTAGAGTAAACGAAAAAAATTGATATATATATGTAGGCGTTGTTGACGAACTTGAATTATGGTTTGATATCAAATCATTAAATCGGAATCAATTGCAGATCTCCTGAACTACGAATCAGATTTCAAGATTAGGTGTAACGTAACACAATCAGGAAGATTCAAAACAATCATTCTGTCAAAAATCGAAAATTAGCATAAAAAACAACCAACAAAAAGATTTCGTTGGGCAATTTTACTTAACAAACTATCCCTCTCTGGATCCTAACCCTGACCCTAACCCTAACCTTAACGAATTTTAAGAATTTTAACTGCGCCACCAACCTAGTACACATTTTCGGTATGCATCAATTGCATCATATGACGTCCCCAGAAGAAATCGTCATTTATATAATAATAATCATAGTCTAAAGTCAGATATATAGCTTTTTAAAATTGATTACTAATCGATTTGTAAATTAAATGTCCCGTGATTCGCATAAAAAAAGCTTTAGACGACCTCCAAAATTTGTAATTAACGCAGAACATATGAACTTTGACACTCGTACAATACTGTATGGAGATCACAAACATCTTTTTATTATCAGTAATAATATAATAATAAAAACATACAATGCAAAGAAATCATGAATTATGCTAGTTAGTTACGCAGAATTACGTGGCGGTGAAGAAACTGGAGGGCTCTTATGGGCATTTCGAATGTCTGCATTACTAAGCTTCTGTTTGCGATCTCAATATTCCTCAAGGTCAATAATAAATGCACTAGGGATTTCACTTGCGACGAAGTTTTTCATTTACAAATATTTTCGCAGGGCTTTAAAAACAGGTGTTTCAGCCTTGGGGAATGATCATGTTCGCTTGATCACGCCACGTAAGATCGGAAACATTAATCCTCTTTAAATTTGTTTTAAGTCTCGATCGTAAAGCTTTTATATTTTGTTCTATTTCTTTTCTTTTAAGGTCAGGGAGAGGTTCTTAATCCCTTTACTATATTCAAATATACAATGCGTATCCCATCATATACAGTACAGCAAATGCAGTTAGACACGTGGCCACAAAAATTTTAAAAATAATCCCATGCAATAATAGAATTTTCCGGGCCGGCACCTAATGACGGTAAGGTTTTTCTTTCCATTGTAAGATAAATTGTAAGATAAATAACTGTATTCCGAGCACATAGCTTCAAGAGGTCTTAGAAAAAGTGTCACGATTTTTTTTGGAACTAAATTCGACATCTTAAACAATGAATATAAAAGCGACAAAATATCTAGATTTTTTATGTATTGTTCTTATATATGTTGTGCTTCGATTAATACGTCAGATGGCGTTTTGGCCTAGGATTACAAATGATCTTTATGTAGTCGGATCCATAATTGAGTAGGTACGGGACCCGACCCGCCCTGATGGGTCAAAATGTTTGAAAGTGTAGATAGTCAAGCAACATAAAAGACGAGAGTTTTTTTTTTTAGAGACGAATCCGGGTCGAATCCGGACCGGATCCAAGTTTTGGATCCGAATCGAGCTTCGGATCAGATCCGGATCTTTAAAAATATCCATGCGAACACTAGTGATTTGCGTGTAACTGATAATACTCTGACGTTAAGTGCGTGCATACCTGATACGTACGTACGTACGTACGTGCTCGTACTCACGCACCTTAGCGAACGTTTCTGCGCTTCGGTAATTTCGAAATAGTTCGGATAGAAGCTCCGATTAGAATCACTTTTTTTGCATAATCTTCCGAATCACCGAAGCCGAAAATTTACGCCTCATGAAAATTTTTTTTAATATATACCATTATATACCAGATTACCTAGTATGCGCATATCGACATTCTGCACACATCATTGCAATTACCTATCACCTATACTACATCAAGACTGGATAAAGTTTCTCCCTTTTTAGAATATAAAAAAAAAGTTTTTCAGTGGAGTTTTATGGATATTTGTTTACAATGAATGATGTAAGCACTGTATTAAGTATTATATAGTTGTGAATAAACCCGCAGTTTTGAAAAGCCCCATCGTTGGTATTCACTTCGGCTTCTACTGTTCACAGCAAGAAAATAATGTACCCCTCCCCATTATGAGCAGTGAGGAATCGTCGTTCACGTCCTTTTCCCTAACACCACCTGTTAACAGTAACTCTTCTACAGCAAAGACGTCGTCCACTACGGCCCATCACTTGAGATCCTCTTCTCAAACGAGCTTAACTACTATTGTAAAAGCTCAAATTTCCTTTCTATTATCTACCCTTTCGGCTGATAATTACGCTCGCAACGTAGCTGAGATTAATTCTGTAAGTGTTATACATCTTGATCACTCTATCTCATTTACGAAATTATGTGCAAAATGTCATTCGAAAAACAGACAATACAGATTTATAAATCTCATCGCTAAAAATATTTTATATACATTTGTAAATTTCACGATCGTTCTCATCGTTTGACTAACATTCTCACTGGCATTGAAATTACCAAATTACCAATCAATAGCTTTTAGACCAACACGGTCAGGATACACATTTCCATTTATTGCGACGACTTTTAATTGCCAATCAAAGCAAAATTTGCAGCATTCGTACTCGCAATTCGGATCTTTCCCTGAGCTATCGTCTTTTAATCGAGAAAGTCAAAGAGGCCGCGAGCGATCCAGCATTATCTGCAGTTTTTTGCGACGCACTAAATTCTATAGATCACAGTGACTCATTTAAGGATCTTGACCTTAATAGTTTCTTAGAGCACGTTGGAATTAATCCGGTAGGAAAAGTCGGACTTTGTATCTCTTTGCTGTCGGCTATTAGAAAGGAAATTGCTGAACAAGGTGAGAGGACAATCATATTCGTGTTTTTAAAATCTATGAAATTAAATTTTAATTTTCTGATAAATATATTCCTTGAATATTTGATTACTAGCACGTGAAATAATCAAACAAAATTTTGCTCCCCTCGTGAAAGCCTTGGGAGACCAATCGGTCCAAGAAAACCTATCAAACGAATTAAGACAACATTTACTTACTTATTGCGAGGCGGAGTCTCGAAGTCTCACATCACAGCAAAGTGAAATCGATTCCAGTCCCATAAAATCGCAATATAATTCTCAGCTCACTGTGCCCACTGGTCTTATCCCTCTCCTAAGTTCAAATCAAAGTGTTACTTCGTAAGTAAATTATCCCTAAAATTTTATTGCTTTTTATTATTTCTAATTAGTTATTCGTTTTAGTGATAATTTTAGTCCCAACATGGAACAAAGTGAATCATCTCGATTGTCCTTGGTTAAAGTTATGTCGGATTCGGGCTATAATTGTTGCTCTTCCGTAGCTGCATTTCGTAGTGTTTTAAATAAATTAGATGTGGTATCGGCGGATTCCGGTGAAATTATCAAGGAAGATGATGTTGCTCAAGCTCTTGGCATGATAGCAAATAGTCATACCAGTTCTGAATATGGTGTTGCTAATTGGAATCAAACACCTGATCACGATACTAAACAATCTTGGAACATTGATATTTTTGTAACAACTTTAGCAGAATTGGTGCGTGTTATTTGGTTCTTTTGTTGTTATCTGTTGTTTATTTTATTTTAAATATTACTTATTTTCTAATATAAGTAAATGTAAATTGAAATATACACATTTATTAGCAACCACACTTGGATTGGGTTAAAGTAATAGAAAAACTTGATTATCCAGAATTTGTTGTTAACGATACAAAAGGGTTAGAAGTCATCTTGACTGCTTTTAAAAAAGCAACAAAGGTAGTTAAGAGTTCTCATGAAGTTTACAAATTTGATTTGTCTTATTCATTGACTCATCGACTTCTTATTAATGACATTTTAGGATCGATCACAATTTCCGCTTCATGTTTTTTGGGGTCGTTGGAAAAATATTAAAGGACAATTTAGCTTTTTGCATCGAATTGTGGATGCACCATTAGAAACATTTAATCTTAATGATTATCCAGTACAAAAAGTTTTGTCTTTGGAGGATTTTGCGAATTCAAATGCTAACCTTAAATCAATGGCTGGTTTATTAACGTCAAATCCTTGGAATTCTGTGGAGCTAATTGAAACGTTAATAAAGATGGCAGATACAGAATTGTACGAAGAAATTAAATTGTTATTTGAAAAGTTCACAAAGCAGACACCTGAGGTTGTCTGTTTGGGTCTCGCTCAAGTTCAAGTAAGCATATATTATTATTTGATGTTAGTGCCTGATCAATACAATTAACACTCGTTATATCTTCTAGAAACCTTGGAATCCATTACACCAAGAGATTATAAACCGATTGGTTTCAGTTTTCTTAGCAGGTCATTCAAGTTCAACACCAGTTTTAACACGTCTGTGGCAAGTCAATAGTAGTCTCTTTACAGAAGGCTGTCTTGAAATGCATAAAAAGGATGCCATGACTATTTCTAGGATATTGGATATTGCCCAAGACCTAAAGGTATAATATCGCGAATGTCTTTTCCATTATGTTAAACGGACACTATTTAAAGTTTTAATGAATAATTTTGTTGTCTTTTATCGGTAGATTCTAAATCAACTTCTGGCTATACAACCGTTTTTCTTCTCTATCGACTTGGCGGCACTTGCTTCACGTCGAGAGTACCTCAACTTAGAAAAATGGCTTCAAGACAATATTGTAGAATATGGTGATTCATTTATTCATGATTGTTTGGAATTTTTGAATCAAAAAATCGCCTTGGAAATAACCCGCGAAACTAATGGAAACATCCAGTCAGTCAGACTTTCTATTGATGTGATTGCCATATTTTTACGAATACTTCAGAATAGGTTAGTATTTGTTAATTTATTATAAATTTTGTATATTTTAATCGTTTATTTACACTAATTGTGACTTTTCTAACTATGTTAGTACCATGTCTGGGAAAAATGCTGAATCGTTTAAAGAGGTTCATAGAGCTGCCTTACAAGTGTATCCACGTCTCACCACTGGGCCATCTTCCGAAAGTGGTGTGACTGGTGAGACATTTTCACCTGACGTTGAAGAAGAGGCAAATTCATATTATGAACGAGTTTATCGTCAGGAGATTAGTATCGAGGATATGATTAAACTTCTTCAGAAATTTAAAAATTCCCAAGAGCACCGAGAGAATGAAATTTTTTCTTGCATGGTGCATAATTTATTTGACGAATATCAATTCTTTCCAAAATACCCACAGAGGGAGTTAACTATTACCAGTGTCATATTTGGTTCGCTGATTCAATATCAGCTTGTAGGGTATATGGCACTTGGTATAGCTCTTCGTTATGTTTTAAATGCTCTTAGAAATCCTTCTGACTCAAAAATGTTCAACTTTGGAGTTCAAGCCCTGCTACAATTCCAATCTCGCCTTCCGGAATGGCCACAATATTGTTCACATCTTTTGCAAATTCCACAATTACAGCAATCTCATCCGGATATCATTCAATATGTGAGATCTGCCCTTGCTGCAAACGCCAATTCAACCACTGTCACAACTCCCACATCTGTTAATACACTTGGAATTGGTAATGGCGAACCAGCTTCGTCTCAATCTACTAACGCTAATGAACTATTGTCAGCGAGCAGACCTGTTTCTGATACTTCAAATAAGGTTTTTGATAAACCTGCATTTACAGCATTGAATTTAGATACATTGCTAGCAGCAGATAAAGATGATTACGAGATTCCCAGTGAGGCTATTCAAGACAAGATCCTTTTCATTATAAATAATGTTGCTCAAAGTAATTTAGATACTAAGGTGGCTGAAATGAAAGAACTCCTCAAAGAATCACATTACCGTTGGTTCGCTAATTATCTTGTTGTAAAAAGGGCCAGCATCGAACCAAATTACCATCAATTGTATCTTCAATTTCTTGATGCATTGGAAATTCCATTGCTTGTTAAGCACGTATTACATGAAACTTTTGCCAATATTAAGGTTTTATTAAACTCTGAAAAGACAGTGCAATCTCCGAGTGAGCGATCTTTACTGAAAAATCTTGGATCATGGCTTGGTGGCATGACTCTTGCTCGAAACAAACCAATTAAACATAAGAATATTGCATTTAAGGTATGTTCAAATAACATGTTTTTGCATTGATTGATTGCGTATCATTTATTCTTTCCGTTTTGTTTTACACTTTTCATAAACAGGAACTTTTGATTGAAGGCTATGATAATAATAGATTAATAGTAGTAATTCCTTTTGTGTGCAAAGTCCTTGAACAAGCGTGTAAAAGTAAAGTCTTTAAACCCCCGAACCCATGGCTTATGGCTATACTAAAATTATTGGTAGAATTATATCAATACGCTGATCTTAAACTCACATTGAAATTCGAAATTGAGGTTTTATGTAAAAGCTTAGAAATTGAATTAAAGGACATTGAACCTACAACTGTTCTAAAAGATAGACCTCCAAAAGAGTTAGTCCCTACTCAACCAACTAGAATTGGAAATGAGTTTGATAAATGGACTAGAAACGATTATGGTCATTCTGTGAAACCGCCACAATCATCTCAGCCTCCATCTATCCCAAATACTCCGAGTCATATTCCTAACACGCCTATGCCTTTTAATGGTAAAATATATTTACTTTTTTATATATAAAGAAATTTGGAATTATTCTTATATATACATATATATCTATACACATATATTGTCAGTAGATGAAGGTATTACAAACCTTGCTCCATATATCACATTTAATCCTAACCTGTCCGCGTTTGCGAATCAACCTATGATGAGAAAAATTGTTCATTTAGCAATTGATCGAGCCATTCGCGAAGTAAGTTTATATTATTTACATATTTATTTATCTTATAGTTGATAAATTCTGAATTGTAAAAATTTCAGATAATTACACCAGTAGTAGAACGATCTGTCACCATAGCCGGAATATCAACTCGCGAACTTATCATAAAAGATTTTGCATTAGAACCGAACGAAGAAAAAAAGCGTAATGCTGCTCACTTGATGGTTCAAAATTTGGCCGGAAGCCTTGCTCTTGTCACCTGTAAGGAACCATTGCGAATAAGTATGGTGACACATTTAAGAAATTTGTTGTTGCAAAATGGCTACACTGAGGTATATTTGAGAATCTGTGTTTCTTTACTTAGTTAATAGGTTAGAATTCACTCAGTTTTATTATTCAATTAATTAGCAAAGTATTTCAGAGCAAGCCATTTTAATAGTTGTGTCTGATAACCTTGAGCTGGCGTGTTCATTCATTGAGAAGGCTGCTATGGAAAAAGCGGTTCCAGAAATTGATGAGTCTCTAGCTTCATCTTTTAGCAATCGTAAAAAACATCGAGAGGTAATTTTCCAGAATTATACAATGAATTCATAAATATCATCTAGTCCTGAATCTTTTTTTTTTTTTTTTTTAAAAAAAAATTCAAACAGCGAACTGGACAGCCATATTATGATATGACGGTATATTCTGGCGTATCACGTTACATGAGCAATCTTCCTGAACCTTTAAGGCTAAAGCCTAATGGTCTACAACCACAACAATTGCGTGTATACGAAGACTTTTCGCGAATTCCACGTCTTAGTAGTCAGGCAGCTGCAATATACGGTACGAATTAGGACACTGTTACTTTCATCTTTTACGCTTCCATAATCAAATAAGGTTCTTTTATGACATTGATAGTGTGATTTTTTTTCATGGTATTGCAATAGATGATCGAAATTCTCGAGTTGGTATGCACCGAGGGCAGGACTTCCCGATGGGGCATCTTTATAACACAACGGAGATGCCATTTGATGGTTCTCAAATTCATATTCCTATCACTGCTCATCAAAGTTTAGAGAAATTTGCTGTAAATATTTGAACGGATTTTTTGTAGATTTTAATTTTTTTACATACTAATATTGATGTGTTTTTATATCTTAGCAATATCTTTGCGAGCTGGACAAATTGATTAGCAAGAATCCACAAGCTTCATGGTCATCTCTACCACCAACTAGTGAAATTCGTTTATTAGTTAAAGAAATTCCTTTATTAGCTACACAATCGTTTAATCGTGACGAGACAGCATTACATTTTTCACAAAAAGTAGTCCAACTCTTATATAAGAATGATTCTAATTTATCGCGTGAAGTCTATGTTATATTACTTGAAAGGCTATGTGAAACATCTTATAAAGTCACGAAAGAAGTGACTAACTGGTTGATTTATGCAGATGATGAAGTTTGTTATATTTCTTTATTTATTTTATTTTATTTTATTTTTGCTTTGCTAATTACGAATGTTCTATATTTTAGCGAAAGTTTATTGTACCCGTTGTTGTGGCTTTAATAAAAGCTGGTCTTATAAATGCAAGCGATCAAGATACACAGCTCGCCAAGCTTATTGAAAATGGAAGACCCACAGTGATTGACTTTACCGCCAAATTGATTCGAGAGTGTGTTCTGAAAGAACCACAATTAGCATCACGTAGTGATTTTATGCATTCAATTGATGCTCTAACTAGACTTACCCAACGTGGCAAGGCGCCTGAAATGTAAGATTTTTTAATTTGATAAGCACGTGATTTTGGGTTTGAGTTAACTAATTTCCAAAAACATGATAACATGAAAATAGAGTAATTCAGCTCCTTGAAGATCTACGCCCACGCACTGCTCGAGATGTCTTTAATAAGGATGTCGAAAACCCGGGTTTGCGCGAACAATTAACCTCTTTCTTTGCGGAGTGGGTACGAGTTTATCAACATCCAACATCAAATGAAAAAATTTACGCCACTTTTATAATGCAGGTATGTTAAATATGGATTCAAATTATTTTAATATTTAATATTTTAAATATTAAATATTCTGTGTTGTAATATTATTTAGTTGCAGCAACAAGGTGTATTGAAGGGTGAAGAAATTTCTTCAATGTTTTTCCGTGTTTGCACTGAGATGAGTGTTGAGCATTATTTGAAACAAAAGGCAACCTCACATGCGACTCCTGCTGTTGCGTATCAGGCAATTGATGCCTTTTCAAAGCTGATTGTTCTATTGGTGAAATATCACTCTGATCCTGATGGTGTCAACAATAATGTCGCTAAAATCAACTATTTGACAAAGATTTTATCAATAATTGTATTGGTGCTTGCGCAAGCACATGAACAACGAAGACAACAGTTCAATCAAAAACCTTTCTTTAGACTATTTTCTAGTTTATTAAATGATTTGAATGCTTATGAGCAACAGCTCCAACCTATTTATTTTCAAATACTTACTGCATTAAGGTATGTTGCATTTAAAACAATTTGCGTCCGTATTCTTTCTTATTCAATTTCCTCACATAACGCATTTTCGATTCTGTTTATAGCAATAATACATTTCATACATTGCAACCATTTTTCTTCCCTGGATTTACCTTTGCATGGCTTTCATTAATTTCCCATCGTCTTTTCATGCCCAAACTTTTGCTCGCAGAAAATCAAAAGGTAAAGGTTTTTTTTACCTAGTGCAATTTCGGATTTTGATATAAAAATACTTATTATATATTATATTTTATTAGGGTTGGCCTGCTTTTCATAAATTGCTCATATGTTTGTTCAGGTTTTTAGTACCATTTCTCCGTAATGTAGAAATGAGGGACACTATACGTCTATTATATAAGGGGACACTCAGAGTTCTACTAGTGTTGTTGCATGATTTTCCAGAGTTCCTTTGTGATTATCATTTTAGCTTTTGTGATGTGATTCCATCATCTTGTATTCAGTTAAGGAACCTTATTTTGAGCGCTTTTCCTCGTAATATGAGACTTCCCGATCCTTTCACACCAAATCTCAAAGTAGATCTACTACCGGAAATATCTCAGTCACCACGTGTTCTTTCTGATTATACATCTGCTTTAATTGCCAATAATCTTAAAAATGACATTGACACTTATTTGAAAACACGCTCACCTATTTCTTTTCCCATGGATTTACGCAACAAATTGATGATTGATTCAAACAATCAACCTGAATTAACATCGACTGGTTCTAAATACAATGTTTCAGTCATAAATTCACTCGTTTTGTATGTCGGAATTCAAGCGATTGGTCAACTTCATAATAAATCAGCTCAAGGAACACCACCAGTGACACATAGTGCACCCATGGATATATTTCAACAATTGTTGAATGATCTAGATTCTGAAGGTGTGTGATGTTTTTATTGTATCTAGTTTACAATTTCATATGGATGTTCATTTATTTCATTTCAATACAGGCCGATACCTCTTTTTGAGTGCTATCGCCAATCAGCTTAGATATCCCAACAGCCATACACATTATTTCAGTTGTATTTTGCTTTATCTTTTTGCTGAAGGTAGTCAGGAGGTGATTAAGGAACAAGTTACAAGGTAAATGCGCCTACAACTCGTTTATTTTTCTTTAACTACTGCCATGTGATGTTTTTAATGTTAATATATTCAATAAATATGATAGGGTGCTTTTGGAAAGATTAATTGTAAATCGACCTCATCCATGGGGTCTTTTAATCACATTTATTGAACTAATTAAGAATCCTCGATATAATTTCTGGAGTCATTCATTTACAAGATGTGCAACGGATATAGAACGTCTATTCGATAGTGTTAGCCGGTAATTATACTTCAGTTGACTCAAAATCATTATTATTAATGGTCCATTGATATTAACATAGCAAAAAAAAAAATTTTTTTGAATATTTGTAAAAAGGTCTATCAACCAAGTGTAGAATTGTATATCTTTGTTCAAATATTTTCAAAAACATCCATTCTACAACCTTAGCACAATTTCACAACACACATTCACACTTTACAATTTGTACAGCAGCATCGTCTTTTTCCTTTTTTTTTTTTTTTTTATTTTTATTTTATTTTTAGATGAGTTCAAATGTATAAATTGTCTTGATGAAAAATGAAAAATAAAATTTGAATAGAACATGAGACTAAAATTTCCTTTATTGAAAAATTCCTATTTTAATCAAAAATGGAAAACAATCTTCAGTATAATTAAGTATAATTACGTATATAATTCAGATTTTATATAATCTATTATTATATTTGCCAATCTCGGCATTCAAATTACATAAGGTTGCACACAGTATGTTTTTTAATATACACAAATGGTTCCTATTGAACCAAAAAAAGGAACGGCATTTTAACTCAAGGTTAACTCATGTGATTGAATTGAAAAAGTATTCATAAGACCATAAATTGCAATTTCTGTACTCTTACTATTCATAACGACAACTACCTTTCTGGTTTTTTACATTCATTTTCTTTTTATATTTATTTCCTCGTTTTATATACTATACTCAAACTTATTTAATACTATATTTCCGAAAATTTGTATGTAGTTACATAGATAAAGTCGGAGGTTTGTTTCTTCGAAAACCATACATTACCTATACACAAAATTTTTAATAACAGTGTCGTTGCAACGTAGAACTTCAATTTCGGGGCAAGCCCCTACATCCCGACCGACTACACCTCAAACCTCGACCACCCATTATGAACCAGGTAGTTGGCAATATCAAGTTACCGAAAACTTGATAAAAGGTCGAGGGTACGGGGCGGGAACTTCAGGTACCACGACACCTACAAGACCTCCAATATTAAGATTAGAAGAACCAAGAACACAAAGTAGATCTACTCATTTATCTTCCTTAAACGATGGATCACATTCTCAGACACCACGTTCACATACACCTTCACGTTCACATACACCTTTGACACCTTTGACACCGATTGATCCGGAAAGGTTTTTATCAGAAGTTTCTTCAACAGAAAATATTAAAAAAACTAGTAAAGGCACAGGACCCATAAATAATGTAGATTCAGAAAATAATAGAAAATCACAGGGTTCATCAGGTTCAGGCTCAAGTGGCTTACCCTCCTGGGCTTATAATTATTATTATTATAACTCTTCAGGTTTTGATAACATTCTACAAGCATCAGCACAAGAGCCCATAGAGAATTCAGATAAAGCAAATACGCGACCTTCAACCTCATTAGCAGCAGGATCTGAAATACCTAATGGTGAAGATAGCGAAAAACAATCAGAAAGTAGGAGCAAAAGTACACCACGACGAGTTGATTTTAAACCAGGCAGATACAAAATATCAACACGGCCAATTAGACCATACCGACCCGAAGTAGTAGTGCTATGTCCTCGTGGATCAATATTATTCATGTTTGGATTTTTATTTCCACCATTATGGTGGTTTGGATCAATTTTTCCTAGATATGTTAGCAATAACGCAGATTATCGATGGAAAAAATATAATCAACTAATGTCATTTGTTTCACTTTTTTTAGTTGCTGGAATACTTTCGATTGTTATTTGGTACTTGAAATTTTATGATAGTAGTATGGATACTTATAGTGAAACCGATTCATAATATCGTTAATATTATTTATTTATTTATTTATTTTATTCATAAACAGTAATACGGTAGTGTTTAAGATATTACGTGTAATACTTTTAAAAATTTATCATGTACATAATGCCTGATTTTTTTTTCTTACCAAAAACAAAAAGAAAAATGTACTTTTAGTTTTTTCTAATACTATATTTTAATTGAAAAAATTTTGACCTTTGAAAAAATAAATTTTGTTTTAGAAAAAAAAAAAATTATTATTTTTTTTTGTATTACGACAATTGAATCACACGATATTTGGATATTGTCCCCGATCTCTAAAGGTGTAACCATAAATAACGAATCTAGATAATAATATGCATTCGATCCGGTCTTTGTTATTTTTAATTCATGTCAGTTATAATAATAGGATCTCTGAAAATAACTTGGACATATTAGGCAAGATAACCGACTTCCCACTTTTTTTCACATTATATACTAATTAAGGATTCGTATCAATATATAGTTTTACCTAACCTTTTTACACATTTTGGTGTATCAATATTACTTTTACCGTAACTAACCTTTAGATTTAATGCAGTAATGAAAGAGCTTTCTTATATTTAGCATATTATGATAAACATTTGCATATGTACTTTAGAAGCATTTAATACGTATTATGAATTCTTATTTTAATAATTAATCTGAAATCTTCATTATTAAGAAAGTATATTTGTTTAATGTGTATTGTTAAGTGTACTTTTTTGAAACCCAAATGAAACAAATCTCTTGTTTGCCGACATTTAAGTACATAGTTTTAAAAATGTATGAATACAAAGATTGTTTCTATAGTACGTACGTAATAGCAACAGGTTGTAAGTTGAACAAGTTTTATACAATGTTAAAAAATACAATTTAGTAAATTTTTTAAGATGCAATCAAGAATTTCAGGTTGAAATCCTTTTATTGATGGTTTCACAGATACCTTTGAAATTTATTTTTTCCTTAAAAGTACAAAAAGGTCAAACGTAAAAAAACCAAAAATCCTCCGTAAACTCCATAGACTATGAAACTGCCTTCTGCATAATAAAAAAAAAACTATAATTTTTATCCCAATTTAGTAATACTTTTTTTTTTTTTTTGTAACCGTTTTAAGTAAAGTTTGAATTACCCCATTATTACGTATTAACCTTACGCCATCCTTTTCAATTGAGACAAAGAAAGATTTATTATTAGACTCATAATGTAACGAGATGACGATACGAATTAAAATTACATTGTTATAAATCTCACATATCACCAATAGGAAGTCAAAGTTCTTAATCACATGACTATACTTGATTTGAAAGTAGTTTACGTACGAAACTGTTATGCATATCAGTATATAGCAATATTAGCATTTTTTTATGATCAGATTTTTTTTATTAGTGAAATTAAAATGTTCGATTACAAGATTCACCTTGGTATTGCATTTCTCTTTCTGACTTTTTTTAAATTGAAAACTCTTCGCAAGAATTGTATCTAAAAGTTACTGTATGTTTAGCTTTGTGAAAATTCTAATAAAGCTAATGAAATTTAGGTGTTCTATCGCTATAGGGCGAATGTTCAAATTTTATATACTAAGACATTTTTAATTCTTTGGATTTTCAATTAGTTGAATCGTTTTTTTTTAAAATTAATTTTAATTAATAAAAATAACGATAATGCTCATCTAGTTAATTAATTAGTTGTTACCACCCCTAGTCTAGTCTAGCGTTACCAGAGACCTTAGCTGCAAATTTTCAATTACCCATGTGCGATTACAGGATTAATATGTTAAGTAATTGTAAGTATGAGGTCATATAACTCGCATATACACAGGGGATCACCAAAATTCCGGGACGGATGTACCGGAATTGATTAAATTTGCCAAAGATCACTAAAAAATTTTATAGCCCATTTATTAGTAAATGCCCAACTGATAAGTTTGGTACAAAATCGGATAGATTAGTGAAGCAACCAAAATTTAGGGTCGGAATAGGCCCGAAGCTAGACCGGTGTTATGTGTAGAAATAACAATGATTTCTATTTTCTTTATTTAGTTTACTACGTGCTTTATTGTTATCTTATTGTTATCGTCTTTATTCAGTTAGTGTATGCTTACATATTAACCTTCTATTTTGGGTAAATCGGTAGATCGACAAAGCACAGGGTTAATAACCCACAACGAAGGTTAAAAACCTTCAACAAGGATAAATAACCTTCGGAAGGTATTAAATGCTTTCTGTGAGAGTAAATAACCTCGTTATAGTTAAGAAAATTTATAAAAGAAAGGTTTCTAATTATAAAGAAGATTTAATAATTGTTTGCTTGTAAGCAAATATGTATTTAATCTATTTTTTCTGTTTTAAATGCATTAAAGAGAAATGTTAATAAAGAGAAAAACTATTTGTCCAATAATAAAAATTTGATTGAATTCTTTTTATTACTAATCAGAAACTTATACAGTATACCTCTCAAACCTGATAGGCATGGTGGACAACTTTTGTATCCATTTGAGCAGGGTTGGGTAATCGGACAAGTGAATTGTCCGATGAAATTTAAATTTCTAACATTGACCGTAATTTTTTTTCGAAATAAGGAACCTCTGTTCAGAGTCAAGCAAACCAAATAATTAGAACAGTAATATACTGCCAATTTTTACTCTATATATGCTAATAGATCAATAGACACCGGACAAATTATATATCCGGTGTCCGGTAAAATTCATTGGACATAGAAGGTTGCCCAACCCTGCATTTGAGAGAGGTTCTCGGATTTAAGATACCAATGGCTTGATGGTCACGTGATTATCGATAAATATAATTATCTAGATTATATTTATTATATATATATATATTTGGTCACACAAAGCTCGATCTAAGCAATCAAATTGATTTATATTACCCAACAGACCTGATATCTTATAGATATTTGATTATTGATAACCTTTAATTCCTCTTATCTTGTAAAGTGTAATATCCCTCTAGAGTAATTCTTATAGGCAAGGCTTATTACTGTATCATTTTTGTATTAAATAAAGGTATTTTATATACTGTTATTATCTTAAACTATTTGTTTGCTATATAATTAAGTGAATAACTATATATTCATCTTGTATATATTTGCAATAGCAATTACTATATTAAGTAATCTTTTTTTTATTTGGTTGTATTTTATTAAAAAGATTACAACCTTATAACACTATCAATTCTTAATCTTTAGTATTTAGTTTAATTCTTTTTAAAAACTTCTAAAATATTGTTTTGTAATTATTTAATATAATGATACAAACTCTAAGTTTTTTATGTTCAGATAATTTGCTACACTTTTATCTACTTAAAAAATAAATCTTTATATGATTCATATATTTCTTGTTTTTTTTTAACTAATTTTGCAAAAATACTTTTAATTTTTTTAAAGTTATTATAATAATATTACTAATATAATTACTTTTTTAAATTAATCTAAACTTTATATTTATTATAGTAGATTTTAATACAAATTTCTAGAAGAATCTTTAAATATTTATTAATAATACTGTAATTATATATTGTATATTTTTTATAATACTATATTTACTTATTGTTTTTTATTTTTTTTTTATATTCGGCGGTCCTGCCTCATTGCTTTATTGGAAGTACCAAAAAGCTATTACAACAGGAGGTAATAACATTTCTATACTATATTCTTATACTAATA